CGGGGGCGCCACGGGGGGAGGAACCTCCCCGCGACGGGCGCGGGGCTGCCTGCTGGCCTGGGCAGGAGGTTGCCTGCTGGCCTGGGCAGGAGGTTTCCTGCCTGTACCTCTGCCTGTGTGGGTGGGCAGGAGCCCCCATGGGTGCCCCCGTGGCCCAGCCCCGCGCCGAGCTGCTGCCGCCCGCAGACCTCCATCGAGGAGATGATTGCCAGCACAGCCTACCTGGACCTGTTCCTGCGCAGCGTCAGCGAGACGGCCCTGCTGAAAACCTTCCTGCGCTTCGTCCTGCTGCACCGCCACGACAACAGCACCATCCTCGACACCCTCGTGGGCCGCATCAACAGCAACTCCCGGGTAAGAGGCGCTGGGCTGCCCCGATGGCCCAACACGGCCCCCTGAGCTCCAGCCCGGCCGTGGCGTTGCCCTCCTGTCCCACTGTGGGGCTGCCCCATGGGACTGCCTGGCCATGGTGCTGCTCTCCTGCCCCACGGGACTGCCTGGCCGTGGTGCTGCTCTCCTGCCCCACGGGACTGCCTGGCTGTGGTGCTGCCTCCTGCCCTACTGCGGGCTGCCCCATGGGACTGCCCAGCCATGGCGCTGCCCTCCTGCGCTGCTGTGGGGCTGCCCCATGGGACTGCCCGGCTGTGACGCTGCCCTCCTGCCCTACTGTGGGCTGCCCCATGGGACTGCCCAGCCGTGGTGCTGCCCTCTTGCCCCGCTGTGGCTGCCTCACCTCCGACCTGTTCCCAGCTCTGCATGGTGTCCCTGAGCCTCTTCCGGACGCTGCTCAGCCTCAACTGCGAGGACGTCATGCTCCAGCTGGTGCTCAGGTAACCTGCCCCATGCCGCTGGTGTGGGGAGCCGACTTGCCACTGTCCTGTGCCCAGGGAGGCTCCCCTGGGACGTGGCCTGGGGTGTCACCCCCAGCCATGCATGTGGGGCAGCCGTGTCTTCTGCTCTGCTGCCGAAGGCGTTGGGGTGCAGTGGGGCCCCCCCGTCCCCAGCCACGTCCCGTTCCCCTGAGTGTGGCCCCCACCTGCGGCCCCCATGTGCAGCCCTGTGCCCCCCCAGGTACCTGCTGCCCTGCAGCCACGTCATGCTAAGCCAGAAGCGGGCAGTCAGGGACCTGGACATCTACGGGAAGACAGCTGCCAAGTTCCTCTCCCTCATCCCGCGGTGCTGCCGTCCCGAGAGCCTGCCACCACCTAACCGAGAGGAGGAGCACGCCGCCTGGTCCAAGGGTACGGTACCAGGGTCCCCTTGGGCCCGCGGCTGAAGGGGGCTGTGCCGCACAGCCACTGCCCCCCCTCCCAGCTCCACGCTGAGCCCTCTCCGTGCCGTTGCCCGCAGGCCACGGCAGCCCCAACGTGGACACCTCCTCGGTGGTGACGGTGCCGAAGCCCTCTACGCCCTCCCGGCTCTCCTTCTTCATGCGGCAGCAGAGCGCGGCCCCCGAGGCGGCCGGCCCGGTGCCATGCTCCCCTGGCACACCGTCCG